AACCCAGGGCCTCAGGCATGCAAGGCAAGCGCTCTACCACTGAGCCACCTTCCCAGCCCGAGTTTATTTTATTTTTAAAATCTCTTCCAACCAGGAAGGAATGTGAGACTGTCGGTCCACTTTGGTCATCTCCCAGGTGGTTCGGGTCATTCGTCTGTTGGCAGCTGCTGGGAAAACATTTGCTTGGTTTGGGAAAGGAGGTTCCCGCGGCCCTGGGAGCAGATCTTAGGACCTGCCCTTCTTGTGTGTAAGGTAGAGCCCAGGCCAGCCTTTGGGCAGGTAGCCTGTTGTGTTAAAGTGATGGGGTTGCAAAGTGATGGGGTTGCAGGAGAGAGTTGCATCTCTGCCTAGGGTGAGGGTCCTGCCCTGAGCCTGGCGGAATTTTGGGTTCTCAGCCTCTGGGGCTGAGCAGCGCTGAGTCAGCAAGGCAGGAGTCAGTTCTACCCTTTAGAGTGTTCTCGGCTAGACACACGGTGGACAGCTTGGGGCCGGGAAGGATCATTCTTGCCTTCCTTTGCCTAAATCCCCAGCAGGCATCATGTGCAGATGGTAGTCTCCAAACCAGGAAGTGTATTCTGAACACAGCAGTTCAGCAGAATAGATCCTGGAGGTCACATGCCACTATGGAGGGTAGGTTGTGCTTGACGTGTTTTGTATGTGCAGTGTGCAGCATTCAGGACTTGGAGGCCAAGCTCCACCCTACCTAACAAGTGTGGGGTTGATGGCACACTTGTCTGCTGGACTCAGGAGTAGAGAAGTCCCTGAGTCTTCCTCCCTTGAATGAATACAACTTTTACTTTTTCTTTTGTCAATCTTGGGACTTGAACTAGGCCTAGGTGCGCTGTCCCTGTGCCCTTTTGCTCAAGGCTGGCCCTCTACACTTTGAGCCATAGCTTTGCTTCCTGTTTTCTGGTGGTTCATTGGAGATGGGAGTCTCACTCCTGCCCAGGCTGGCTTGGACCCAGGATCCTCAGATCTCAGCCTCCTGAGTAGCTAGGGTTATAGGCGTGAGTCACTGGCATCTGACTTCAACCTTCACATTTTTTGAAGGGCTTCTGCATTTTAACATGTTGTGTATTTTCATAATTGTCCAGCTACTTTTCTGTCCCACGTTTCCCCTTACACCCTGTGTGCGTCACACACTTTCCCTTCCGTGTAGGAAGCTGGTGGCTGCAGACATCTTTTAGCTCACACAGACTTAGATCAGCCTCTCTGCCACCTGTCTGCTGGGAACTGTTGAGGGATGCCTGGAGGCAGGGTTGGTGGAGGCTCTGAGGCCTGTCTTGGCTGTAGCTATTGACTGGGATTCCCCCAGGATCCCCCCTAGGGTTCCCCATACTCTACACATTTATGCATTTATGCATTTATACTCTACACATTTATACATTTATGCATTACATTGTCGAGTGGGTAGCCAAGGAGATTGGTGTTTCTCTGCCCTGCCCCCAGGGGCTGCGGGTGACTCACCTGACATAGAAACCTACTTCCTTTTATCTCTCAGACACAGAAGAAATCCATTTCCATTTATCTTTTACCCCATCTTGCTTTGAAAATCAGCTCTAGAGAGCTTAGCCCTGAGGCGGTTCTAATTTGAGAAAACCTCTGGGTTTTGGCACATGCTGATTCCCTGTGCCTTGAAGCCTGTCCCTCATTCTCATCCTTGGGCCTTCAGCTCAGCGTTGTTTCCTTTAGGAATCTTTGCCTGCCTGTTTGGCACCAGAAGCTAGAATTCCATTTCTCGGTCCCCATAGTGTCTGTCATCTTGTTAAAATTTCGAATCTGCTGTTGGTACCCTCGTGGACTACACCCAGAGGACCGCGGCAGCGGTGTTCCCTGTGCCCAGCACACAGTAGGTGCTTGGCAGGGAGCTGTGAGTGTGTCACTGAGCCCACCTTGCAGACAGGGTGTATTTATGAAAATTGTCATTATTACAAAATCCTGAAAGAAATGAGGCTTTAGCATCTCAGGAGAAACCTGAGAACTTCCGCTTCTTCCTGCATACCTGCTCTGCAGTACTCTGTCACTGGAGGGCACAGGCTGCCTTTGTGATCAGCCAGCTTCCCACCATCGAACACCTGTCCTCCCTGTGGGGGGGAGGGGAGGGGGGGATCATTTTAAAGCTTAGCACCCAGGAATCCATCCTTTGTTTCCTATTCTTTCTTTCTTTTTTTGGTCAGTGCTGGGACTTGAACTCAGAGCCTTATATTCTCATACTTGCTAGACAAACACTCTGCTGCTGAGCCACACTCCTGTCCCTTTTTGCAGTGGTTATTTTTGAGACAGAGTCTTGCTTCCTGCCCAGGAATACGCTGAACCACAGTCACCTATCTTGAGCCTCTTGTAGTAGCTGAGATGACAGGCAGAAGCCTCCGAGCTGTTGGTGTGTGCTATTCTTCGCCATCAGAACACCAGTTGTGTTGACTGCCAGCACTGACGCTCTCCAGCCAGCATCCATTCTCACCTTTGAATATTTTTTTGATTGATAGACACACATGTTTATGAGCTATAGCATGAGGTTGGCACATTTATGCATTACATTTCGATCAACTCAGAACACTAAGTTATCCATCGCCTCAAACGTCGATCATTTCTTTGTGATGGGAACATTGTAAACCCTGTCTCAGAACTGTTCTGAATATGGGATCCACGCCGTTAGCTGTCTTGAATCACTATCTATCTTGAGTCACAGGCCCGTTCCTCTGCTGTGGAGACTGGCGACTGTGTTAGTCCACTGCCCATCCCCCGTTGTTTTAGTTTGCAGCTTTGATCTGCTGTAGGCTGGGATGTTGGGTTGCCCGAGTTGTCAGAGTTATTCTAGAGGATGATATAATTAGATCCTTTGGGCCTTTGCTGTGAAGAGAGTAATAAAAGATTTTCTGCTTGAATTCCAACCTCTGCCTGAGCTGCTCAAGGCTCTCAAAGCTCTTCCTTCTTGTTTCTCAGCTCTGGGGGGATACAAGGCGGGGTGGGGGGAGGGACACAAGTAGAGGGGGGGCCACAAAATGGATCTCACTGTAGGGAGAGGAGCCAGTGATGATGGAGAAGGGGCTGCACTTTTGTATGTGCCCAAAGTCGTGTGAGAGGCACCTGGCTATACCTGGGGCCCGATGGAGGGGAAGGAGGTGGGGTGGTAAGGCTACTCGGAGCCTGGCTTAGCTCTGCTGGGCATTCCCAGTGCCACTGCTAAAACCAAAATAAAGTGATTGATCAGCGCTCTACACTTGAGAGCGGCGTGTCACATGGTGATATGGTGTCTATGGATTCAAGTCTTAGGCCAAATAAAGGCCACATGCTGGGGGAAAAAAACACAAGACTTGGAAAATGTTTGCATTTCAAAATTGACAGGTTTCTTTATTTATTATTGAGCCATAGTAGATTGATTCTTGTCCCTGGTATCTCTGACAGTTGGGAGATGGACAAAGGCCCTGTGACCCAGCCCCACCCTGCAGCTGAGGGGAAGGGCGGGTGTCCAGCTCCAGTGCTGAGCCTGGACAGCCACGCCAGTGTTGGGAGAATCGACACTCAGTTGTGTGTGCTGAGAGACTGAGGACGAGGTTGCCTAGTATACTACATGCACCCCAGGACCAGAATGAACCCAGCAGTAATTCTTAGGCAGGAGTTTGGTTTTCTCATAGCATAAGCCTTTTGAGAAAACGGTGCTAATTTTGGCCTATCCTTCAACCCCACTGGAGCAGGATGAATTTCAAACATAGTTGAACCTAATTAAAACTGTTGCTCTTTTGGCACAGGGAAAAGCATGGAGGAGATTAAGAAGGTGCTGCTGCTGGTGCTGGGCTGTGCCGTCCAGGTAGGGCTGGGCAGGATGGGGAGAGGGCTCTGCCCTTAGCTGCGCTGGGTTGGGACTGGAGGCATTAATCATGCCCAGCTCATGTCAGTTAGAGTGTAACAACTTGAGATTTTGTAAGCGGGGTCACGGGTGGCTCACGTCTATAATCCTGGCTACTCAGGAGGCCAAGAGCCGGAGCATCTCAATATGAGGCCAGCCCAGGCAGAAAAGTCTGTGTAAGACTCTCTTTCCAAAATAGCCAGCAAAGAGCAAGCAGGAGATGTGTGTCAAGTGGTAGAGCAAGTGGTGCAAGACTCTGAGTTCAAATCTCAGTGGTGGTGATGGGGCAAACCACCAAAGATGGGAATTGTACAGCTCAGTGGTAGAGTACTTGTTTAGCATACACAAGGCCTTGTGTTCCATCCCCATCACCACGAAAAAAAAAATCCCTGTCTGACCTTTTTACAAGGGGTGTGTTCCCGCCTTGCTTTGAGCTGGGTGCTGTCATCTTCACACGATTTTTATGTCCCACATAACCATTGATTCCCATCTGGGAGGCGGGGTTAGAGGGGATGGCTTGTGAAACAAGCTCCGAGCAGCTTCCTGAGAAATCTGTCCAAGGTTTGTAGGGGGCAAAGTGGTGTTGTTACAAATGAGAAAGCAGGCGGGGGGTGGTGGTGGTGGTGGTTCATTCTTAAACTGAATGTGGCTATGAACAGAGCCTCAGGCTTGCCCCCCCTCGAAAAAGGCTTCCATTTGACATATATAACCTCTTCACAGTGTGAGAGGAAGGAGGAGTTCATTGAGAGAATCAAACAGCTGGACATCGAGACCCAGGCTGGCATTGTGGCTCACATCCAAGAGGTAACCGGGGGCATGCCATTGTGGCCTCTGTCTTGCAGCAGGAAGGACGCAGGTAGCCAGCGTCCCCACGCTGGGAAAGTTTCAAGCTATGTCACCCAAGAGAGTAGTTTTTACTTAGGCTTCTGATACCACAGACAAATTGATTCTGTTTGGAAAGGTAGCCGTCAGCCGTCAGTAGGAGTGAAAATTAAAAAAACAAAAACCAATACCTCAATCAAATCTTCTGTCTCCTTCTTCTTGCCTTATATGGACATCAGACTATTTTTAAGAGCTGTCAAGTAGTTTAGGCTCAGAATTTGATTTACAGGCCCAGAAAGTATATTCTGGCAAATGTCACCCTGTGCTGATGGTTGATCTTGAAAGAGAGAGAGAGAGTGTGTGTGTGACATCCTCTGCTGTCAGTGACACACAGCGCATCGAAAGACAGCTGAACTATGTGGTACTCAAAGCCTGGAGTCCAGAGAAGGTGGCTCGGGGGATCTTTGCCTCAGCCCAGACTCAGGTCTCCAGGGTGAAGTTGGGAGGATGCTCCATTAAATGTCACCCCCATAGAGAATGGCAGGCATGGGGCTGGGAAGGTGGCTCAGTGGTAGAATGCTTGCCTTGCATGCTTGAGGCCCTGGGTTGGATTCCTCAGCACCACATAAGCAGAAGAAGAAAAAAGCCGGAAGTGGCGCTGTGGCTCAAGTGGTAGAGCACTAGTCTTGAGCTGAAGAGGTGAGGGACAGCTCCCAAGCCCAGAGTTCAGGCCCCACAACCGGTCCCAAAAAACAAAAGAGAGAGAATGTCAGGCAGACTTTCATGGTCTTTCTGCTCTTGACATTGGTAGAGAACATATCAGCTAAAAAGATACGTTTTCCTTCTTGTGGATCAAGCACCCACTTGAAAAATGAATGGATAGTTAGATTGCAGATGAAAGAAAGAAGTACACCCGAGTGCTTGTTGCTCAAGCATGTAATCCCAGCTACTTAGGAGGCTGAGATCTGACAGCCACTGTTCAAAGACAGCCCAGGCAGGAAAAGTCTGAGACTTTTATCTCTACCCATCAGAAAACCAGAAGTAGAGCTGTGACTGACTCAAAGTGGTAGAGTGCTAGCCTTGAGCGAAAGAGCTCAGGGATAGCACCCAGACCCTGAGTTCAAGCCCCACAACCGACAAAAAAAAAAAAAGAAAAGAAAAAAGATGTGTAAACTGGATATTGGTGACTCAAGCCTATAATCCTAGCTACTCAAAAAGCTGAGATCTGAAGTTTGAGGTTTAAGCCAGCCTGAGAAGGAATGTCCATGAGACTCTTCTTTCCAATTAACCACCAAAATGCCAGAGATAGAGCTGTGGCATCAACCTTGAGCAAAAAAAACTAAGGGATAGCATCCAGGCCCTGAGTCCAAGTACCAGTATGGGCGCGCGCACACGCACACGCACGCACGCATAGGAGCTGGTGTGTTATTGTCAGAGGCAGCTGAACACACAGCCCTGGAGTGGATGTAGGTGATGTGTCTGGGAACTGCAGGGTAGTAGTGTGTTCTAAGTCAGGATTTGAAGCAGGAGACAGATACGGCTTCTTGCAGGCAGGGGGAGACGGCCAAGCTGGCATCAAGTGAAAGTCAGTATTTTAATAAGTATTTTCAACCATTATTGACCACCTGTTGGACTCGAGCCATTCTGCCTCTTTAGTTTCCTTATGTTTCTGTGTTTTGAAAATGAATCTGTCCAGTGGCCAGGTCCTTGAGCTTTATCAAGAGTTCGTTGCCTCTCACTGTCTTTTCTGACCAGACAGCAGGATATTAAAATAATAATAAAAATGTAGCCTGGCGAGTCCTTTGTGATCATCATTCAGTGATTGGCACTGGGTGTGGCTTCAGAATTAATTGCCTGTTAAAAGTTTTGGTGCGGGGTCAGATATGTTGGCTCCGGTGGTAGAGTGCCAGCCAGTGAGCAAAGGCATCAGTTCAAGTCTCAGTTTTCAACAAAAAGAAAAAGAAAAGTTCTGTTGTCCAGGACTCATGAGGACAGGGGAGAGGTACGAGTCTTGACCTGAAAGCCCTCCATGTGTCTGTGTCCCTGAAGCAAGCCACGTGGGCTTAAGATTCTGAGTTTCCCTAGCTAGCCCTGGTGTGTATGAGGCCTAGGACCAGCCTGGGAACTTTAGCTCCTGGCTGAGGATACCATGTGATGAGGTGTGAGATCTCACTCAGAGGTCCAGATCTTTCCTTTCTAAGAGGGGAGAGAGGAGAGCCTGGTGTCTTGACAGACTTTGACTTTACTTGTGTTTTGTATTTGCCTTTTTTTTTTTTTTTAAGCCATTCTTCCCATCTCCCATCTACTTTAAGAATCTTCTCTGGGAAACTTTTCTGGAGGTATACCCCTGGTACCTCATTGTTGTGTCCCTCCCACACTGAATGCTATACTGTTTCCCTTCCAAAAACCTGAGGATCCTGGTTCAAAGCCAGTATGGGTAAACAAACCCATGAGACTCTTAGCTCCAATTAACCAACAAAAAGCCAGGAGTAAAATTGTGGCTCAAGTGGTAGAGTGCTAACCTTGAGCAAAAAAGCCAGACAAGAAAAAGAGGCCTCAATATTTGAGCCTTAATACTGGAACAGAAAGAGAGGGAGGGAGGGAGGGAGAGAAGAGAGGGTAGGAGGATGTATGGATGTATGGATGGGAGGGAGGGAGGGATGGATGGATGGATGGATGGGAGGGAGGGAGGGATGGGAGGGCATGCACCAGGTCTCCCTGCTCTGGGGAGGAGATGAAGCAGGTGTTCCTCAGTGGCCTGTGGGACTGAGATACACAAGCTTACCTCAGAATCACTTTGGTTTGTGCATAGCTTCCCCAAGAGGGCTCTACACCCGGTGTTCTAATATAAGATGCTTGACATTTTTGCCCTGTTTGCATTGGACTAAGTCCTCTTCCTCATCTCCTTTATGTTAGCTACAGTGCAAACACCTTGTTATCTAGTCCCTTTTAGGAGAATTATTGTAAGAAGTGGGTTTGGGTTTTGTGTGTGTTTGGGGGCAGGGGGTAGATGATGTGGCTTGTGCAGCGGATCCTCAGGGAGGAGTTGGTCTAAATTCCCTTGAGGAGCCTTCTGCTTCAGCTTGCCAGACAATGATTAATAATGTCCGAGTCTGGAGAATGAGCTGGATGCAGTGTGCGAGCGAGGCGAGGGTGTGAGGCAGGCTGTGGTCTCTGCCTGGGTTGCCCACATGGGCCCGGAGCCAGGCGTGGCAGCCCCTGCAGGGCTGGGCTGTGTTGTGCTCACAGGTGACCCACAACCAGGAGAACGTGTTCGACCTGCAGTGGCTGGAGCTGCCGGACGTGGCCCCGGAGGAGCTGGAGGCCCTGTCCAGGAGCATGGTGTTCCACCTGCGCCGGCTCATCGACGAGAGGGACGAGTGCACCGAGGTGCGCCTCGGGCAGGGACACCGTGGCTGCCCGATGGGCTCAGGGATGGTCGCCCTCCTTCATCTCCTCTGTCTCCATCTCTGGCCTGGTCGGGGTCTGGTGGGGTCAGTGTTCACTGAGGGATGCCCGAGGGAGGTTGGAAGCTGGTCAGGGTGGCAAGCAACTCTAGGTGGGCCTGGGCTCTGTGCTAGGCCACAGGGCTCCCTAGCAAGTGTACTACTGCTTGTCTTCCATCTGCTCTGCTGCTGCAGCTGATCGTGGACCTGACACAGGAGCGGGACTACCTGCAGGCACAGCACCCACCCAGCCCCATCAAGTCCTCCAGCGCCGACTCCACGCCCAGCCCCACCAGCAGCCTTTCCAGCGAGGACAAGCAGCACCTGGCCGTGGAGCTGGCCGACACCAAGGCCAGGCTGCGGCGCGTCAGGCAGGAGCTGTGAGTGCCTGGCTGCGTGTGCGGCCTCAGTGTGGTGTGCCACGGACACGATTCTAGTGCAAAAGGGAGTTCTCTGCCGGTGTATGGAGCTGGCAGGGGTGGCTTTCAGCTAGTTCAGGCTGAGGCCATGTGGAGTACAGACAGAGAGGGAGGGCCTCTTCCCCAGCTCCAGACTCCTCCCAGCCCAATAGCTGTCTTCGGAAGCAGACCACTGTCCCCTTTCTGGCCAGGTCTGGGGCCAGGATGACTACGTGGGAGCCTCAGCTGGTGATTGGCACTTGCTGGTTGTAGAGACCTATGGCTGTGACTGGGATCTCACACCCTTAGAAGGAAACCCACACAGTGGATGGATAGAGTTGGAGGGCAGATGTTAGATAATTAAGAATTTGGAGAGAGGAACACTTTTGTAGCCCCATCCTTTTCCTGATCTCTCCCCCCACCCCCACAGGGAGGACAAGACGGAGCAGCTTGTGGACACCAGACATGAGGTAGATCAGCTGGTGCTGGAGCTACAGAAGGTCAAGCAGGAGGTGAGCCCAGCCTGACCTGGCCTACAACTATGCATTCAGGGGTTAGTGGCTGTGTCCGGCTGAGCCATTCTAGCTCACCATTGTCCTGAGGACTCCCCTGGGAGTGACTGTGCTTCTTAGTGACATTGTGTGGAGACCCCCAGGGTCTGCACACGCAGCTCCTTGTCCACTAGGATGCCCCGGAGCCCCTCCCCCCTCACTTGAGGGACTTGACCCTTTCTATCCCCCCCACCCCTTTGGGGAGATCTAAGATGTGCAATTTCCCTTCTGCTATCTTGCAGAACATTCAGCTGGCTTCTGACGCCCGGTCAGCCCGGGCCTATCGGGATGAGCTGGACTCCCTGAGGGAGAAGGCGAACCGCGTGGAGAGGCTGGAGATGGAGCTGGTCCGCTGCAAGGAGAAGCTGCACGACGTGGACTTCTACAAGGCCCGCATGGAGGTAGGCCGCACCCCTCCAGTGTGGGGTGAGGCACTGGGCTTGGACACATCCCCAGTTGTGTTGATCTGACAGGCCTGTCCTTGGAGGATTTCAGGGACAGGAGCCCCCTAAGGTGATGAGAGCGCCACTTCTCTAGCGTCCCAGCCTGTCTGGATTCCCTAAAGCATTTCCTCTAATTCCTTTATTTCCAAGCATGAGACAGGTGAGAGAAGGCGTACAGGCGTAAAGGGCAGTAGTTCCTTAGAGGTTTTCCTTCTACTTCACAATGATGACCTTCTGATTGCCTCATCGCTCTTTTTAAGAATTTTTATTGTTATTAGAAAGGTGTTGTACAGAGGAGTCAGGTAAAGAGTACTTTTTTTTTTTTTTTTGCCAGTCCTGGGGCTTGAACTCAGGGCCTGGGCACTGTCCCTGAGCTTCTTTTGCTCAACCAGGCCCCTGAGCTTCTTTTACTCAAGGCTAGTACTCTTACCACTTGAGCCATGGTGCAGCATTCCCAGCGCTGCCTGAGCTTCTTTTGCTCAAGGCTAGCACTCTACCACTTGAGTCACAGTGCTATTTCTGGCTTTTTCTTTTAATGTGGTACTGAGGAATCAAACCCAGGGCTTCATGCCTGCTAGGCAAGCACTCTAGCACTGAGCCACCTTCCCAGCCCCAGAGTGCACTTCTTTTTAGACAATATCACTCCTTTCCTCCCGCTTTCCCAGTTTCCCCTCCCATCCCCACTCACAAGTTGTATAGTTCATTTTCCACATAGTGTCTAATGAGTACCACTGCAACATTTGTTCACCCTTTGTCTCTCCATTTCTGTGCCCCACTTACCTTCCCAAAGACAGATAAATGAACAAACAAGACAAAAAACAACAAAGGCGGGGAAAAAACCCTGTTGTTTCCATTTATCTCTCTCCTTTTTAATACCTCTTGCAGGCTCATTTGCTCCATTTCCTCATGTAAAAAGTAAGAATAGTAATACTACTGTTTTGTTTTTGTTTTTGTTTGCCAGCCTTGGGGCTTGAACTTAGGGCCTACACGCTGTCCCTGAGCCTCTTTGCGCTCAAGGCAGCACTCTATCACTCCAGCCACAACGAAAGCTTTTTCTGAGTTGTTTATTGGAGATAAGAGTCTCATAGAATTTCCTGTCTGGGCTGGCTTCAAACTGTGATCCTCAGCTACCCTGGGTAGCTAGGGTTACAGCTGTGAGCCACCCGTGCCTGGCTGGATTGCTACTGTTTTGAAAGATAAAAGAGGTGAAACCTCTGAGAAGTGGCTGGTGAGGGGCAGAGTTTGTGAACTGGGAGAGATTTACAAGGTTAACACTTGTGGAGGACACTTTGTTTTTGTGCTACTAGGGTTTGAACTCAGGACCGCTCTGCGCCTTCCCTTGGGTTTGCTTGCTCTACCACTTGAACCACACCTTTTGCTAGCTTTCTGATGAATATCTTTGGAGATTGGGAATCTGGCACACATTTCTCTCCATACTAGCTTTGAAGTGGTCCTCCAGAGCTCTGCCTCCTGATACCTTGGATTACGGGCATGAGCTGCTTGCACCTGGCTGAAGAGTCTTATTTAATGGAAGAAAGGAACAGTCCTGAAGTTTCTGCCTGGTGCTTCTGAGGCTTCTGAACAGTCTTGAGAGCCCGGTGTTGTGCTGCCTTGCTGTGGGTGGAGCCTGCATGTGCCAGCAGGCTGGTTTCACACTGGGCCCTGGAGGCCCTGCGTTGCTCAGGTGGGCTACAGCCAGGCTCTGAGGGCTATTCCCTGAGTCATGGGAGTGGCTGGTGACTCACCTTGCCCCCTCTGCTGAGACAGCCCAGGAGGCTGGACAAAGGCAGCCTGGGTCTGGGTAAGGGACCCAGACAGGGAATAGGAGTTTGTCTTGTAAATGGTCGGCTGGCTCTGCCTTTGCCAAGAGGCACAGATTTCAGCATAAATGGTTTCAGGATGTGTGCCACAGTGAGGAGCTTTTCATCTCTAAGTATATCACCAGAGTAGCTGCAGGCATCTGTTTAACATGCACATTCCTAAACATAAACCCTCCTCCCTCTCCCCCCCTCCCTGCACACCTGTGAGCCCTGGAAGTCTTGGTTCACAGGCTCTCTCCTGGCCATCCCTCCACCCATCTAAGCCAGATTCTGCAGGACCAGGGCACGCCTTGGCCTCCCTCTTCCATGGGCAGGGGCAGGGCTTGTAGAGAGCTCATCTGCAGCCAGCCGCTCTGTGAGCCTTGAGTCCTGAGAGCTGAGACTGTGTCTCACTTGATCCAGAACCCCGAGCTCGCTGCACCCCCAAGCCCTTGGGAAGAATTCATGGCAGAAGTCAGGAACATTCTGTCTTGCAGCTTGAGCAAGGGCACGGGAAAAATGTGGGGTTTGGAACCAGTGGTGTAAAAAGTCGTGGCCTGTCGGCCAGCAGAACCAGGACCCTGGCTATGGCTCTCGTGCCAGCTCTCCCCGTGGACGCGGCACTGAGGAGCAGCGTGGGAGGGTGGGTGACCCTGACATTCTCCCTGAGAGCCTGCCAGACCAGCCCTCAGACGCACAACAGCGCAGGTCCCCTCGGGCCACGTGGGAGAGGGAGAGAGAAAGGGCTCAGGTCTGGGGTTAGAGCAAGGTTCGTCTTGGTCTAAAAAAAAAAAGGAACACAAACTTGTATGATTTGGTTTTAAACTTCTGGGGTCTTTTTGTGTGTGTGTGTCGCCTGATTTGTTAAGAGACAGCAGCATCTGCCTCTTGGGGAGAGGAAGAAGTAGGCGGGTCCTCAGCTGACCCCTGACTTCCTTTTGCAAGTTGTAGTGCCGCTCAAGGCCACATTTGGGGTCAGAGGGTTGCGGTCTAAGGATTGTGTGGGAGGAGGTGGAGGCAGAGACAGAGATGGTGTCTAGAAAGTTCTCCTTCCTTGTATTTTATGACTGGCTGAAAATTTCCCTCCCAGGCAAAGGGCAAAGGCACAGAAGCTGTGTGTGTGTCCCAGGCAAGTGGCCAGGGCTCCAGGGGCTCCTGTGTGGATTGGCAGCTTTCCTCAGCACTGTTGGCTTCCTGCAAAACAGCCCAAGAGGCAGAGACCTTGCTGGGCCCAGTCCTCCTGGCTGGTGTTGGACCTATCATCTTATTTATATAGGGGTACAGGTGTAGTCTGATTGTCCCTGAGCCCAAGAGGCCATGGTGGCCCTATCAGCCATGAGTTTATCCTAGCCAGCCTTTCCTCCCTACAGGAAACTCCCAGAGCAGATAGTAGCCTATGGTAAAGGAGGCAGCCAGAGAGTTGGGTGAGGTCATTCGGGGCAAGGGCTCAGTACTTAGGAGCTGGGTTTATGATCTGAGTATGTTACATGTATGTCCTACCCCAAATTCAAGGTCATTACCCCTAAGATGACAGTGGTGTGTCCAGAATCTGGAAGGGTTAAGAAGGTTGCCCTGGGTTCAGAGTGGGCTTGGAGGTGAGGCCCAGCCCAGTGTCCCTTCTCCAGGCCTGGCTTGACCCCAGGTTGACTCTCTTGGCCATACTCTGGAACTTCTTCCTCTCCTAACTATCTCCATCCCCTCCAGTAGGGAAGGAGCCAGGAAAATGGTGTTGCTTTGAGTCCAGGGCCTTCGTCCTTACTCTGGGTTCAGGGTCTCTCTCCTGCTCTCCAGCCTCTGTCCATCTTCGTCATCCACAGGAATCTCAGAGCTCACATGTCTAGTGATTGCATCATCTTTCTGTGTTGTCTCTAGACTGCACTCTGGCTAAGTCACATCCCAGGTCAGCCCCTCTCTCCTGCCTTTTCCCCACTCTCGCCCCGCCTGGACCGGGCCCAGGGTCTTATCCTCTGGGCCCACATTCCCACCTCCCATTCTTGATATCAGCATCAGGCTTCTTCAGAGGTGTGCGCATGCCTAGCCTCCTTGGCCTCTTGAGATGCCTGCGTGGGTTACTGCAGAGTCTGCATACGGGATACTTCCCAAATCTGCACTAGCCATGTCACCCCTCCATCCAGTGACTCAGCGGACGCCAAGTCTACATCCATTCCTGCTGCCCTGCCCAGTGAGTCCTTTGGCTCCATCAGGTCCCCTGTGGCTCTTTGTACAGGTGCTTCCTCAGCCACCCCCCTCCTCCCTCCCTCTCCCAGACCTTAAGACTCAGGCATCAGAGTTTAGGCCATTGCACAGCTGGGTGGCTCAAGCTCAGACCACATCTCCAGTGTCCTGCTTCACCATTTCCTCCCCAAACCCCCTTACTCCAGGCAGCGTTGTACATGTGGTACTGTGATGCATCTTCCTGTCTCCCTCACCGGACCAGGGAAGATGAGCCTGTGCCTCCCTCACCCTCTGCCCAGCACCTGGCTACTACAAACCCAACAAAGTAGAGTGCAGCTAGGCCGTCATTGATTTTTTTTTTTTTTTTTTTGGGTCCGGTCATGGGGCCTGAACTCTGGGCCTGGGCGCTGTCCCTCAGCTCTTCAGCTCAAGGCTAGCGCTCTACCACTTGAGCCACAGCACCACTTCCGGCTTTTTTTCTTTTTGCTTATGTGGTGCTGGAGAATTGAACCCAGGGCCTCATGCATACAAGGCAAGCACTCTACCACTGAGCCACCTCCCCAGCCCGCCGTCATTGATTTTTATGAATGAAGTTTTATCAGAACACAGCTAGACCCATCTGTTGTCTCTGGCTGCTCTTGTACAACTCCTGCAAGGGGTTATACAGAGACTTTGAACCCGCAGACCTGAAAGTATTTCCCATCCAGCCCTTTGCAGGCTGGCTGTCTGGTCCAGAGCAGGTGCACAGTAAGGCTTTTATTTTTATTTTTTATTTTTTGGGTCTGGTCATGGGGCCTGAACTCTGGGCCTGGGCACTGTCCCTCAGCTCTTCAGCTCAAGGCTAGCACTCCACCACTTGAGCCACAGTGCCACTTCCGGCTTTTTTCTTTTTGCTTATGTGGTGCTGAGGAATCGAACCCAGGGCCTCATGCATACAAGGCAAGCGCTCTACCACTGAGCTATCTTCCTAACCCACAGTAAGGCTTTTAAATGAGCAGTGCTGTCCATACTGTTATGGAGCCAGCAAGGGTTAAGCCCTAGTGTTAACGCTGTGTTTCAGCCTTGTGGTGGCACTGCAAGGTGTAGCAGCAGAGATTGGTCCCTCTCCTTTCTTCAGATGAGAAAAGGGAAGGTTAATTTGTAACTTGCCCACTGTTGCAGTTGCTAAGCAGGTGGGCTGGGACCGGAATGCAGCTGGCGTCCTCTGAGCCTTGACCAGCTGCCAGCGAACAAGCTTGAGCTACACAAGAGGGAAGAAAGAAGGGGTTGGAGAGAGGGGGAGTAAAGGTGCTTATAGAGGGGGTCTGGCTGCCACTGTGTGCCCAAGGAGGCCCAGAACTCAGGGTTCCTGTCGTAAGCAGGGAACATTAAAATCCAGGAACCTGCTAAGAATACTTGGAACACAGACAACTGTGTTCCAATGTGGGACTCTGTGTCTTGCTTTCTCCTACTGTTTTAAGGTCTGGTCCCTGCACGCTCCTCAGGACAAGCTGTGTTTAAAGTAGGCAGTTCCCGGGGTTGAAAGGCCTGATGAATAGGAGGTGATGGAGACTGATCTTTTCAGAGCAGGAGAGAGCAGGAGGTCGGCGGCCCTGAGCAGTGACCAGCTCCCCCTCCCCTCTGTCCCCCACCAGCTCCTCCGCTCTCTGTTGGCTGTGGACACCGGGAACTGCATGTGTTATGAGCAGCGCTCAGGACAAGGAGGCTGTTTCTTTGACTCCAAATCCCCTCTGGTTTGCAGTAACTCCTGGGGTGTCAGAAGGTCTCCCCCCACCAGAATTTTTTTTTCTTGTTTTGATTTTTTTTTTAGTTTTGTGCTAGGGATCAGTCTCAGAGTTGTTGTTTTGGGGGGAGTTTTTTGGTTATAGGGCTTGAACTCTGGGCCTAGGCGCTGTCCCTCAGCCCTTCAGCTCAAGTCTAGCACTGTACCGCTTGAGCCACAGCGCCACTTCCGGTTTTCTGGTGGTTTATTGGAGGAGATAAGAGTCCCATGGACTTTCCTCCCCAGGCTGGCTTTGAACCTTGATCCTCAGATCTCAGCCTCCTGAGTAGCTAGGATTACAGGCGTGAGTCACCGATGCCCAGCTGTCTCAGAGTTTTGTTGCATGCTGAGTGATGTTCTGCTTTTGAGCCCTGTCCCCAGCTCTTGGCAACCAGCTTTTACCCATTAGCAGGGGGTGCTCTGTGGGTGAGTTCTGTATTGAACCAGGTCCCATGGAGTCTGAAGTGACTATAAGCCAAACGTAAGTGACTCATGACTATAATTCTAGATACTCAGGAGGCTGAAATCTGAGGATTGAGGTTGTAAACCAGCCTGGACAGGAAAGTGAACTACCAAGAAACCAGAAATGGCACTGTGGCTCAAAAGTGGTAGAACACAAGCCTTGAGCACAAAAACTAAGGGTACAGAAACTCAGGCCCAGGCCCTGAGTTCAAGCTCCAGGACCAACACAATAAACAAATAAATAAACAAGTAAATAAGTAGATAAAAGGATGTGACTATAACTCACAGCTGGAGGCCTAAGCTGCATCCTGGAGTCTCTGTCCTCCTCTTCACCTTAGAAAGTAGAAATCCAGATCACTGGTTCCTGGGCTGGCGCCCTCTGTGGGCTGAAGAAGCCCTGCACTGGTCTCTGCTTCCTCCCAGTAGCCCTTGAGTCCGGCCTGTGGCCACGCTGTCAGCTAGGCTCTGAGTCAGGTCTTTAAATCGTCTCCTAGCTCGGCTGGGGTCAGGGCCCTGGGGGGAGGGGTCTGCGGATGTGGGCAGGTGTGGGGTTGACCTCACCCCAGCCTTTGGGGATCCCTCAGCTTACGATTCTGCACTCAGACTTCTGAGATGGTGGGTGTGCAGGGCAGTGGGACATTTCTGTCAGCCAGTGTCCTGGAGGTTGTTTAGTTAGAAATCATTTCAGGGGTACTCTAGTGGCCTGCTGATCCCACCTGGCCGAAGTGCCCCAAGTCCTTCCGGGGCCACCCTGCTGCCCCAGTATCTCACAAGAGCAGTATGGCAGTCCCACCGGGGATTCTGGGCCAGGGGAACAGCAGGCAGCCTCTGCTGAGAACGCCCCGCGTCACTGAGCAGGCCAGAGTGGATTCCCAAGCACTTCTCAGAGGGGCAACTCAGGCTGGTGTTAAAGGTCGAATAGGAGTTGGCTGTGAGGATAAACTGCACTATATGCAGGGCCCGAGAGCATGCACCCTGGGGCGCACAAGAAGGTGAACCCTGCCAGATCCCCGTAGGAGGGAACTGGTGTGGGGGGGGGGGAGAACAGAGGCCACAGCAGGAAGGCTGGGCCTTTCTCCTGCTCACATGGCCTCCTTGTGCTCTGCCCTGGTTCATGTCATTAGTAGCAGCCTCAGCCCCTCCCCCACGCAAGGCCCGTGAGGATGGGTCTTCCCGGGGCACAGACCCTCTGGCTCTCCTTCATTTACTTGCATGGGTCCTTCATCTGTCTCGCTTTCCCTGAGGGCTGCTGTGAGGGGTGAGTGGGAGGGGACAGGCGGAGCGGGCATGGGCGAGTGCCGAGTCTGAGGAACTGGACTTGGATTCATGAGCAGAAACACCAGCCGCTCCCTGTCCCGCAGGATCTGAGGGCACAGAACCTGTCTCAGGAGGGACAGGTTCCCAGCCAATAAGCTGTGAGGGGGTGTGGCCAAAATGCAGGGGTCAAGAGACAAGGAAAAGGAAGATGGCCCCACAGAGATGTGGATGTGTGCCGACCGTCTTGGCGTTGTGGCAGCATTAGGGGCGGTGGAGCCTTGCCTCCACCTGTCTGTGGGGTTCACATCTGCTTAGGCTGCTGGGCTGTCATTAACACCCCCCTCCCCTCCCCACACACACAGCCCAGAAGCTGCCAGGCACTTTGTGTTGCCAGGGGTGCATGTTGAAATACTCCAATAGCTACTGAGTGTTGAACGAGAGCTTGTCTGATTGCCATTTTCCAGCACCCTGGTGAATGTTGAATGGAAAGGAACAGACTAAACCTAGAGACTCTCTAGGTTTGTTATGGAAACCCACTCCAGAGGTCTGAGGCTCTCAGCGGAGTCCACTTGTCTGTCCAGTGAGATTAAGATATCATAGCCTACTGCCAGCCTGGCCTGTGGGAGATCCTGAGGCTCCTGAGTTATGTGTCTTTGTTGTTGTTGTTGTTGTTGTTTTCCTTCTGATTGGGCATTAAACCCAGGGCCTGTGCGTGTGTAAGACAAGAGCCCCACCCCATCCCATGACATCCTCATCACTTTGGGCCTCAGACTTGCTATGCAGTGCTCTACCTTGTGGTCCACACCTCCAGCCCTTTTGCTTTTGCTTTGTTTTTTAGAGTAGGTCTTGGAGTTTCTCCTGGGGCCAGCCACAGACCTGTGGTGTTCCTACCTATGTCTGAGTGTCCGGGATTATGCACTGCCATGCTGGGCTTGTTCTTTGAGATGGGATCTGAAAGATCTTAACTTCCTGGTTACTCAAACGGATCCTCTCATCTCCACCTCCCAGGGGAGATACAGGATTACAAGGCTGAGTCATTGCCGTCCTGCTTTAACCATTTGCTTGATTTTTCCCCTCCCCCAGAAAATAGGCGTTTGTCCTTGTCTCATCAAGAGGCCTGTATGGCTGGTAGCAGCAGGGGCAAAGCTGCCTGCCACTGGTTTGTCCCTAGCTTGATTGTTGGATCCAAGGAGCTTTGGTTGAGAATCCTGTTGGCCGTCATCTGGTACCTATATCTGATGGTTTTCCTGTGTGTTTTTGCTCACCAGGAGCTGAGAGAAGACAACATCATTTTAATCGAAACGAAGGCCATGCTGGAGGAGCAGCTAACAGCCTCCCGGGCCCGCAGTGATAAGGTCCACGAACTGGAGAAAGAGAACCTGCAGTTGAAATCCAAGCTCCATGACCTGGAACTGGTATTGCGAACCGAGCCGGGCGGGCAGCACTTGGCGGCAGGGGTGGGGCGGGGTCTGCCCCAGGCCAGGCCACCGCCCCAGCCACTGCCACTGCTGTCACCATGAATGTCAGCAGTGGTTGCCTGGAATGTTGCGTGGTGGGCACTTCCCACCCTGGAAACAGCTAGGCCCTCTTCTTGTGGGTTGCGTCTCTGCAATGGTGAATGGATGCATGTGTCTTTTGCAAGAAGGGTCCTTGCTGGTGTTTCTGGCACGCGCTGAGCGCTGGTGTGTAGACCCCTCACAGTTTCCCAGGCCTCAGCCCTGAAGCCACCCAGGTGCCCATCGTTACATGCTGCTTCAGAGCCCCCTCTGATCAGACTGCGTTCAGGTAGAGGCCTCAGAGCCCTTCTCATAACCTAGCCGGCCAGGCCAAGGGCCTTGCAGCAGTGATGTGCAAGTGAACAGGTGCATGAACCCTTCATCCACAGTAGACGGTGGCCGGTGCTCAGCTTCACGGGCCTGTCCGGAGGCCTGCCTCATCCTTCTCTCCTCTTACCCTAGGACCGAGACACAGATAAGAAACGAATTGAAGAGCTGCTGGAAGAAAACATGGTCCTTGAGATTGCACAGAAGCAGAGCATGAATGAGTCTGCCCATCTGGGCTGGGAGCTGGAGCAGTTGTCCAAGAATGCAGACATGTCAGACGGTAGGTGGTGCCCCATGGCTAGGAGCTGAGCCCTTGGCTCTGAGTCTTCATGGCAACCCATCCATTCATCCCAAGAAAATATGATTTCCTTCAAAGGCCATTTGGAACAGTTTCATTACCCTTCTCCCCAAGGAAAACATGAGGGCTCTGGCGGTCCTGATGTCAAGACGTGAAATACAAATTAAGTGTTGCCAGGCTGCTAGGGTTCCCATATGGATACGGGAGCCTCTAGATCACAGCATGCTGATACCCTGAGGACATCTTTAGCCTGTCTGTGGATGCTGAGAGCCTGGATGGCAGGGGTGTCCCTAGTGGTTGGTAATCCCTGCTATAAATATACCCTGGCTGTGATTTCCTCCATTCATTTGCATAATTGGTCAGGATGGATGCAGCCTGTTCTCCATTTCCCTGGTGGGGATGCTAAGTGGCTGCCATCTCCACCTCCCAGTTGGAGATTCTTGGCTTATCTGCTAGGCTCTTCCGCACCTCCTGGGCTCCCGCTGCTGCCCTCTGCAGGCACACCAAGGTAAGGCAAGGTAGTTGTCGGTGGGAAGGGTGAGAGAGCAGGAAGCTTCAGCACTGAGCAAACAATAAGCCAGTTCCTGTGTTTAAAAATAACCACTTTCACAGTCCTCGTGCACCAATATTACAGATTAATATTAGCTTAGCATTTTGCAAGGGTAGGAGCTTCAGGCTGATATTGGTGATAGCTTTTTAAAATTATGATATCTCCTAAGAATTCTGCTAATTGGGATATTGAAAGCAGCTGAATGTTGCTTCTTCCAAGGGTCTTACCCATTCTTGACTTAAAAGCCGCGAGTAAAGCTGTCCCTGTGAAGTTAGGTTTTGTCTGCTTTATGCCTGTGTACCAGGAGGAACTCTGCTTCCTGGTGGGGTGGAGAGGCACTACCAGCTACCTAGGCCAGTTTCCCATCCAGGGTCTGTCACATTGCAGGACCAGCAGCTGGTGGACTAGAAGGCCTCAGTTCATTATCCAGTGGAGTTTGTGAGCCTTTGAAGGTTGATCATCTTGAATTACTCTTCGTGGCATTGTTGGCTTGAAAGAGGCCATCATTAGCTGGGCATCGGTGGCTCATGCCTGTAATCCTAGCTACTCAGGAGGCTGAGATCTGAGGATCACGGTTTAAAGCCAGCCAGAGCAAGGAGAGACTGTGAGACTCTTATCTCCAATAAACCACTAGAAAACCGGAAGTGACACTGTGGCTCAAGCGGTAGAGCATTTGCCTTGAGCTGAAGAGCTGGGGGACAGTGCCCAAGCCCAGACTTCAAGCCTCACGACCGATCAAAAAAAAAAAATGCCATCATTCATTGAAAGCTGGAATGCACTTCTGGTTTCTTTATTTTTAGTTAGGTTTTGTTTTGTTTGTCAACTTGAACTCAGGGCCTGGGTGCTGTCCCTGAGTTCTTTTGCTCAAGGCTAGCACACAAGTACCACTTTGAGCCACAGTTCTTCTAGTTCTTGAATGGCTAATTGGAGATAAGAGCCTCTTGGGGAACTTTTCTGCCCAGGCTGGCTTCGAGCCAAGGTCCTCAGATCTCCTGAGTAACTAGGATTAAAGGCATGAGCCACTAGCACCCAGCTTTAGTTTTAGTTTTAAAAGTGTATTTGTGTTAAACCTCAGTAAGAAGTGAGATAAACGCCAAATTAGAGGTAATGCATACCTCATTGAGAGGTGAGATCAGTAATCTGAGAACCAACATTGAATCCATAAAGGGATCCATTTCCTCCATGCAAACCACAATAGAGGGCTGGGAAGGTGGCTCAGTGGTAGAGCGCT